ATAAATTATAAACTTATTAAATTTTTCACATTGAAATTTTTTGTTATCAATGATTTAAATATCTTAGTTCTTTTTTAATTTTATATTTTTAAAAGATATTAACAATCGATAATATGGTTAGTTTTGGTATATACCTTACAAACCGAATGGATGTGATTTTATAAAAACCATAGGATTTGGATATGGTTGATTTATAACCTATTAAACTGAAACATGTAAATATGTATATATTTATAACGACACATGAATATCTATTTGTTACATGAATTGAACTATAATTATATTTTGTAAATAGCTAACAATTTATTACAACTGAGACTTCTTATTTTGATCTTTTGTTTTTTTAACAGTAACTAAATTGAAGTAAAGATTATAAATTTGATGGACAACAATTAGTTGAAATTCTTTACAATTTTTTTTATCTTTAAACAAACAGAGTTGTGTTCAATCAAAGACATATTGGTTTGATGAACACTAAATATGGAAGAATATAAAAACTTTTCTTTCATGCTTCTGTTTTTTTTTTTTTTTTCAAAATTTAGTGTTTTGATATTAATTCTAGATTTGATCATTTTATTAGATGATAGAAGCCTTTTTTGTTTTTTTCTTTTATTTAAATATATAATATTTTTTTAATAAATGACCCTGTGGTAATATGACTCTAAATATGATCATATTATATATTTGTATAATATATAATATGATCTCAAACTAAATAATTATGTTTTTTGGTATAAAATTGAATAAACTGAAAACCGATGGTATATAAACCAAATCAAACTGTAGTACATATAGATTTAGAATAGTAGTTATATTTTAATGATCGAAATACCAAAAAATCGGACAAAAAANGGTATATAAACCAAATCAAACTGTAGTACATATAGATTTAGAATAGTAGTTATATTTTAATGATCGAAATACCAAAAAATCGGACAAAAAATTGAGCCGAACCGAAACCCGATATCCGGATTGAGCACCTATAATCCGAATGAAACCGAACTATTGTTTCATTTTTCAAAACATAATAAAAATAATAGCTTCATCCCGCAAGGCGCGGGTCTTATCCTAGTTATATTTTTATATCTTAAGACTAAAGAGTAAAGAAAAATCATCTCTACAGCACAAGTAAACGTTGGAGGCATTTTTCCAAAATTACCAGTTATATTCATTTTCGATTTAGATAAAAATAATATTTTTACCTTTTAATAAGAGCCCATCAAAAGAGGTTTGATCCATTATAAATATTCGCTATAGTTTGCCATATCGTCAAACTCACCTTAGCTCAGTTGGTAGAGCGGAAGACTATAGTGGATTCTCCCAAAGAAATCTTTAGAGCATATTTATAGGTGTATCTTAGGGAGGGATCTTAGTATTTTTGGATTAAAAATAAAACAAAAACATCAATTATTTTTAAAACTTGTCTCTTAATTAAAAGTAGCAAGACACGTATCTTAACATTTCTCTCTTTATTTTCTTCTTTCTCTCTTCCTTCTCTTTTCTCTTATCTTAATAGTAATACTAGATTTTGACCCGCCCTCAAGAGGGCGGGTATATTTTTTGTTTTTAAATTTTTTACCTAATATAATTTATATGTTTGTGTGTTTGTATAATCATATTTTTTCGCTGCTATTTGTTTTTTTTGTCTCAATTTGAAACGTAAATTGTAGAATTAAAGCCACTGGGCTGTTTTAGTTATCTAAAAAGTTGTTCCGGTTATTTAAAAGTTTACAGTGAATCCAACGTACAAAGTAGTTATTGTTAGATAATTAAATCAAATAAATATATTTGAAAGTAAGTTCAGTGGCAAAAGATGTAATATGCCACATAGTAGTAGAGATAATAGTTAAGAGTGATCCTAAATTAATAATATTGATTTTTTTAATATATATAACTCTTAACTTGCTACAAAATTTGTTAAATAATCTACATTACTTTTGTTTCTGATATTTTATATAAAATAAAATAAAGAAACTAAAGTTCCATATTTTTAAATTTGTTTTTAAAACAGAAAATATTTATTTTATTTCTTAATAACTAATATATTATTATATAACAAAATTGATTAATTTAGCAATCCGCAGTTTGCCAGCGAGCCAATAATCCAGTGATCTAGTAAGTTGATCGTTCTAGTGTACGGATCATGTTGCAATACACTGGTTGTACCATAATTATTTTACACATAATTTTGAACTTTATTTCTAAATAGTTATTAATATTTTTTTCTACATAACAAAATATATTTATGTCATAGAATTAGTTCAAGCACATGAATCTTCCTAGAAACCTACCGGTACACGTAAGAAAAAAAATACAAAAAAATTATTTAAATTCCAGATTTGTTGCTTTAGCCCTTAGAAATAGGAGTTTAAATATTAGTCAACGTGTTATATTTAAGAGGTGGTTATCAAAAGTGGTTACTGATATAGTTAGATGCTATTCAATTTTTAAAAAAGTTAGATGCAGTTATAAATAACTATTGGACTATACATATATAAACTGGTCATGATCTAATTTTAATAGTATTCATTATATATCTAAAATATTAACTATAATTAATTTCTATATACTCAATATCTAAAAATATTATTTATAAACTGAATTACCAAAAAATAAATACCCAAATTTTTATTTTAAATGTTAAATTTATCCGAGTTATTCGATATTCTTGTCCAAACAACTTGAATTACCCGATATTTAAACTGACAAAACCGAATTATCCAATACTTTTCTTATAAATCTGAAATTACCAGAAACCATAATCGAACTGGAACTAAATTATACCCTTGTTTATTTTGGATGTTAGATGATTCCTAATTTTGGTACATGAACCAAATCAGAAACCAAAATAACTCAACTGAAACCAAACCAAACCAAACTTTGTACATACCTGAAGAGCTCCTAATTTTCTAAAACCACAACACCATTACCAAAACTGAAACCAAATGTTGATGACTAATAGTTCATCTACATTTCACCTATAAACATGCTCTTAGGTCGCCTGAGATACTCTTTTTTATTTCTCCACTGTTATTATATCAGTGGGACCCACCTCCATCTATATTTCTTCCCATTCAACTCGCGTGCCAGACCGTTGATTTTCTCCTATTTTCGCGTAACTGTTCACTCATACTCGCCTGGAAATTCCCAAAGTAACCCCATCACATTCCTTTTCTGATATTTTCGCGCCACGTGTACACCTTCTCCTTCCTCCTCGTATACAATCTCAAAAAAGAAAAAAAATCACAGTTAGAAAAAAAAAACAAACGAAAATGAAGAAACAAACTTTCCTCTCCCTCCTCTTCCACTTCGTCGTCTTCCTCGCTTGTACATATCCGTCTTCCTCTATCCTCTTGAACGATCGCACCTTCGAGATATCTAACTTGCCGTCATCGCGCGCGGAGAAGCTGATCCGTGAGCTTAACCTTTTTCCCAAGCTCGACGTGAAC